CCCCCTCGCCCACCTAGAGTCACTCGAGTAACGAGACCAGATCGCAGATAGTGCCTCTCCCTCTGCGCTTCGCAGAATCATTCAAAGAGGAAGGTCCCTCGAGCAGCAACAGGCACGCTGACGCTTCCGTTCTCATTGGGACGATCGTCGCTCCGATTTTGGGCTCCGAGGAACGACGAAGGATCTCGAGGTTTGGGGGCCTCGGCAAATCCGGGTTGACTCACGCAGTTTCATTCGAGTCGAGAGCTCGCTGACCCTGTCTCCGTGAGCAGTTAAATTTATCGAGATTTAATTATTAGCGATTCTCGACGTCTTCGGTCTTCGCGTGCCGCAGCTGGCTTCTGCGACAGGAAATGATAAAACGGCAGGACCGTGAAGGGGAAGCTGGGATATTGATCTCGAAGGAGAATGAAGTTTTTTTTAAATTCATAACGACAGGTAGCGACCAGGGTCTGCTGGGATGATGATTAATCAGCGTTCAAGCTGTTAATAACAGTGATCTTGGCTCTCCGATCAGATATGATCTATAATCGTGCTAATGAGATAATTCCTACCTAGACCTCAGCGAATGCTCAATTACTTCACTTTTAACTTGCTACTGTAGAGAACGCCATTACGCGTCAGCTAATTTGCTTACGCATTTCATGACCAAACTGTCTTACGATTAGGCCAATTTCTATGGGACCGCGGCTGTCGGATTAGTCGGGATTCTCAGTGAATTCGTTTCTAATTCATCAGGAGGCTCGGAGCACCGTTACGATTGGGCTAACTTGGCTTTAGAATTTGTCTTTGATATGACGTCTCGTTTGACAGGTGTTGCTGACAGGTGGTCAGGCCGAACCTTGTTCAGAGTACGGATGTCCACATAGGCCTCATCACGAGCCGTTTGTCCCTGCGCCACCAGGACACACTCCAAGATGTGCCAAACCGGGCCAGACCTTTTGCGAGACTCTGGACCATTATCCGCAGTAAGTACGAGAGAGCGAAGGAAGAAGTTAATTTAAAATTTACGTTACAGAATTTAAAATGGGAATTAGAATTTCTTGCTCCGCCTCTGATCTCTTCATTTTGCTCTGCTCGTTTGGAAAAGAACACTCCTAAGATTCGGTCATTGAATTTAGGACTTGAGCGATTCTTGAGTCCGCGTGACGCCACGACGTCACGACGCCGCGACGCTCGAGCTGTCAAATCCGACGATAGCGTCGCTTGGAAGGGGGTTCTTGAACGATGCACCGAGCGACTGACTAGAAGACTGGTTAGGCCACGGACTGAGGTCGATTCCTGTTTTACTAAATTTAAACGAAACGGATGATCCAGGACCACCTGAGAAGGTGAAGGTACCTAGTCCAGTTGATTTGTCAGGAAGTTCAGAAGCAAATTCGACGTATCGGAATGTTAGGAATTTTCATAGCGTCGCTTCTATGGCCTAACGGTAGCTTCGTACGGAGTTGACATAAAAGTCGACTTCCGCCCGGAGAAAAGAATTTCCCTGCTCTTTTGGTCTCCAATAATGGATCCTGGCGTCCAACTATGCCGAGTGCCCGTTAGCTCTTACCAATAATTTGCATAAAGTCGGGTGTAAAGTTGTTCCTTGTCCCACGCGTTCAGGCCGCCTCAGTCAAAGGAACGTGTTGATACAGATACTATTATTGTTAGTATATATGTATATACCTACCTACAACGTTTCTGATCATTTTAATCGACTGTCCGATCGATAAATACAATTATCTGTCCGTGAGATCATATTTTCTTGAGCAAACAGGAAGTACATCGAGCGACGTTCGATTCCAGGTAGTCAATCAAAAAACGCTTTAAAAAGTCGTTACTCTCTTTACGGTCATTAATGTCGTTAGTCAACTCCTCGTCCCTCTAACCAATTGTCACAGCCATTTGAGATATAAATATTTGTCCATTACGGAAGAGACCTGAGACGGAGAGTCCTGAACCGAAGAACCGAAGAACCGAAGACCCATCTCAGTCCCATTCGTATGCACCGAGCCAAACGCACGTGGTACGTAGGTAGCCCACCTCAATAACGCTCCTATACAGAGTTACCAGCAGAATCGTAAATAATGCCTAGTTTAAGGATCGCGCAGCTATTTCCGACGTGATCTCAGAAAATGGTTTATGTCTCGAACAGCCCTGAGATCAAATATTCGCCCAAAGGTATCAACGACTGCGTCTTGCCGCGCCATTGGTTACTTCGTTCTTTATCGGGCCTTGGATCGAGACTCTGAATTCGTTATTAATTATTGCCCGTTCTATGGCCTGACTTAAATAACAATCAGATATCGTTTTACAAAACAAGACCTTGGGGCCTTATTAACCCCACTCCCAAGTCCGAAGTCCATAAATGTCCGCCCCTTCTTAAAGCAGCAACCGTAGCCCTCGGGTTTTCCACTTCCCAAATTAATAGCCAAGGTTTTCCAGGCTTTGGCGTTAATTTCACCTGGAAATTCACTCGAGGTCGTATTACCTATGGAATCTCCATAGAACCAATTGATTCATCGATTATTCGGTCAATGGGTTACGTAAAATTCACATGGCGTAATCTGCAGATCCGGCGATCAGCGTGCACAGGTCCGTGACCATGACTTTCCTGCGACTGTCCTATATCTATATGTAGCCCTTATCAGATGCATTCTGCAGCTTGGAGTAACTTTGAGGAATATCAGGAAAATTCGTATTCGGTGCTGGTTTCAACGGACACCGGAGTATCGGAATATTTACGTGCTCGATGACTCGGAGAGAGTTTTGAAGATCGGTGAAAGGAATCCTTATGGGGATTAACAATTATCGAGTTCTGTCCACTTTGGATATTCCCAATTCCCCAGTACGTTACATTAAACTGATATTGCTCGAGATGTGGGCCGAGGCTCTTCTGTGACTTTTCAGGAAGATCCGATCCTGGCAGCTGCTGTATTTCTTATTTCGAGCTAATCGCAGCTGATTACAGGAAAATAGATTTCGAGTAGATGTAATAAATAGGAAATGAAAGCGAACGGATTGCCGAGTTCAATAATTGAAATCCCAAACGGAAACGAATCGAGGAGATCCCGTTGTCCCGCCGGGTCCATTTATCTTGGATTAGATTCGTCACTATTAGTGATCTTGAATTAATACTCAATGCCAGTGAAAGCCGCTTCTGCCCGTTCTGTGCCGAGGCGGAAGAACCGGTCGGGCACTTTCGACTTCGCTCGAGTCTTTCTGACGTCAAAACTTCTGCTGCAATTCGGGCAACAATGATCGTCGCCACGATGACTTCTCTGGGAAAAAGACACGCAGCGTCGTACGAATCGCGGACGCACACCGAGTGCGTGACGTAGTCAATGTGCTCATCCTGTGACACTGTCGTGGACAGGCAATGGGCTGCGACCGATAACAGAAGAACAATTGCCGTCCTGCCGTTTACGCAGGCAATACCAATTGCTGAACAATTCCAGTGGCCGGGAATTTCGAACATAAAGGCTGCCCGTAAAACAAAGTGATAATAGAAATTCCCGTCCACAGAGTCGTAAATTTCGAAAAGCCTTTCTATGGCAATGAGACTTTGAAAACCGTTAATAAATCGGCGGCAGAGCACTCGCTGGACTCGCTCATTTTCAGTTTCACCATAACACTCATCGACTCGAACTCACTAGTTGTGTTGATATGCTATCGATTCAAAACAGGAGGCCGGCCCAATTGGGCATAGAGCCGCTGATACCGGAAATTCATTTCCGAGATGAAATTTTCGGACTCGAGGCAGATCGACGTGACCTTTACGCGTTGGATCATCCCAATAAAACTAATCTAAACTCATCGGCGACTTTCTATCGGACATTTGTAATTTAATTTCGCGCGGCAGCGTTAGCTATTTTCTCCCGGCGCCGACGACGCCGACGCCATTAGACGTCGAAATTACCCAGAGCCTCTTGCGCGTAGAGATTCGGCATCGAGGATCGAGGTTCGCAGGGTTCCCGAGGGTCACGAGTCTGCGACTGGAGGTCACCCCACTGAGGCCGAGGTCAAGTCGGATGTACTTCTGTCGCTCGTACAAACATCTACTCGAGGCATATTGATTCTTCGTCTCTTTGGAATCCTTCGAAACGAGAACCTTCGCCACTTTCGGGGCCGCCGGGCAGGCTGATCATCGGGAGAACCCTCGATTTCCTCCGACGCTCCAGGTCGGTTCTTCTTTCGGTTATCTATTAACGTTATAGAACGTTCGCGCAGGAAACGCCGCAGGAAACGCCGATCCGTTGGATCAGCCCAGAATACATGGGAGGCACAATGGCCGCCAGGGACACTTGTACCCGGTAACAGTTACGTTAAAGAGCTCTTCGGGTGCAGGTCATGAATTAAACATCGAGACACCTTCGGCTGACATCTCTCACCTCAGAGAAAGTTTAAAGACGTACCTAATAATCGTGAGCGCAGTACGCAGAAATTTACTTTCATGTTGATTCGCTCCTCGGGTTTTTTATTATCAAGTAGGCAGACGAGACATTGTCTATGAAAAATTTTGAAAAATTTAGTACGGCGTAGCTGGGCGGCACTGCGTAACGCCTGTGCGTGCATTAGAAATGTTTTTCGTATAAAACTCGACAGGTTCACAAGGATTTTGACTGATTGGAATATGGCCTCTGGGAAAGTGTCGCAACGAGTATTTGGACTAACGCATTAACATAGCGAAGTGTTTGTCTCGGCGTAAGCGACGCGCGGAATTGTTCTTCGGAGCAGAAGTCAGGGTTCGGCAACGCGAGGATGACTCCAAGGATTCAATAGCGCGAATCAATCTTGAAGGATAAGCGGCCCAACTTGTAAATATTATATTTAGACTGGAAGTCCCGCAGGAAGCTGTAGTGGATCAGTGCCATGATGTTATCAGTACTCGAGCCACGCCTAAGTCCAATCTTACTTATGCGTGTCGCAACGCTACGAAATTCTGCAAACGGAATTTTTACGAGCTCAGGAGCGTCTCGCGCCGGCGATATGGCGCATGACAATTCGCGACTTGGTATTCCGTTTTGTGAGGTCTCGAATCAATGACCCCTTACCCACAGTTCCCTTTCTTCTTACGACTCGGCGAGATTCTTCATTTTTGGCAATTTTATTTTTACGTTTTTTCCAATTCAAGCATTTTACATTTAAACTCGGGAGATTCTCCTTCTTCTTTTCTAATTCGATAATAAATCGTCGGCCGTCTCTCATTCTCTTTGACGTTACAAATCTGTTGGATGGGATCACGGACTAATGGAGAAAAGACAGTAGATACCTACCTGGGTCAGATGAACAGCCGGATGGATATAGATATGTAGGTTCATTCGAATGAAAAAGGTCGTAAGGTCGCAGGAGGTAGCGCATACGTATGTACGGGATAGGGAGATTACTCGTAATAGGTATACCCAGGCCTATCACTACTATCTCGAGTATCGTGACGAGCCTCGAGCCTCCGGCTAGCAGTTTCAATCGAGTAAGCAATTTCTAATTAGCATACAAAGCATTGACTTGGACCCGGAAACTAATTAACGAGGACGATACTTGGCTCTCAACCTTTACCCCGACAAACAATGTACCAGGACGTCGATTCGCTATGTAATCGGGCTTTAAAGCGGATGATACTTCATAAGCCGTCGCGATCCGTCGATACGAAATTGGTGATCGAAGCGCCTATTATCAATTCGATCGCTCCTCTTGCATATTCTTTATATTCACTTTTCAGGCAACTCATCAGATTTCTTATCGACAAATGGAACTTTGACTACAACAGGGTACTCATTGATGAATCACGTGACGATTTCAACTCCTACAGGTCGGTGGGTTTCCTTCTGCACTGGTCATACGATTTGAAGTCTTGAACGAGTCTGATATTCTCGACACGCGGAAACAATATTTTAAAATTAATTTCGAAAGAAACTTTCTATCCAGCAGAACATACGTGGATTTATTTTTCGCTCCGAGTCGAGGATATCTCACGGCTCGATAGGCGATCCAGTGTGTCTGGTTGGTTAAATCAATTTATTGTAACACTTAGGACAGAACCAGATTACCAGGAGGGTTACGAGTACCACAGACCGGAAATATCCCAGTTTTATCCTCAACCCCTACCGTTCCTACCACCCCATTACCCCTTTGGAGGACAACCAGCTTCGGTTTATGGCCCACCCCCGAATACAACCCATCAGCCAGGGTAAAAATTATTTGAAAAAATATATTTCGAAAAATTTGGGTAATTACGAAATTAATCCGTATCTCGTCTGTGGTCCAGCTACAATTATCCAGTGCCCCCGCGAACACAGGCGAATCCTTTTCTCCAGCAGCCAGTGCCAATGGGAACCTCAGCGGCCCCTCAGCTTCCTCATCTTCAGCAGCAACCTCCGCGTCAGCATCATCTCAATCCTTTCCTCTACCCTCAGTCCCAGACCTTGGAATCCTTGGGCCAGGATCAGGCTTGGTGGTCGAACAGGTAACCTCGAAATTGATGAATACGGTTCCGAATGAATAACACCGACTAACATGACTATCCCCCAGGTACGTTCGTGGGAGCGACGGGGTCGTAGCGCCGCGTTCTCAACGGGAGAACCCCCTTTTGGAATTCGCAAAATTAAAGAAGGATCGCACGAAGCGGCAAGCGAACTCTCAGGCCACCGCACTTTGTCCAACAAACTCGCAATACATAATGCCGAAGGCCGCCTTGAACAACAAGGGCAACTGGATGTACGTGGTGAATCTGCAGGAACAGGGCAACAGGTACACCCAGCTGGTGCGAAGCGAGACTTGCGCGTGAGTTTCTTTCTTTCTTGGTTTTCTTTCGCTTTTACGAATTTCCCAACATTCTTTATAATAATTGATTTCGTCGTGGCTGTCCCAGGGGAGACACCTGCAACGGCTTGTGCTCCTTGCCAACCGGCTACACGAGTAGATGTCAACAGCAGTACGTGCAGAAGAGGCTGGTAGCCCTGGAAGGAAGTGGCGACCGTCTCTATACGGATGTCTTCTGGTTTCCTCACTGTTGCACATGCCAAGTTATGCTAAACAATTGATAAACCAATATAAAAAGTGTCTCTTGCGTGCCTCGTGAAAATCATCCCTCGATTACTCATCCGGCGGATGTCCTTATCGCTCGCCGAAAGGATCACTCCTGGAGCTCTTCCAGTGCTGCGGTCGGTAATGGCTGCCGCGTGGCGACTGTCGGCAAAGTAGCTACGAAAGTTCCAAGCCGGGCTCGCGAGAGGGACGGACAATTACGGAGGAGCGAAACGAAGAGAGATAGAGCGGAATGTGTGCGCAGGGGGAGAGACATCCGTATTCTATGCTACCAGATGTCAGCACTGTGTTGTATTTCACCTGGAAATGATCCCCGAGACTTTTTCGACGATCCACCCCTCCTTTAGAATCCGAAACGGTTCGATGTCCTCATCTTGAGGACTTCCTTACGGGTGGAAATCTGCACGGCGACCTTTCCTTGGGCCGTCATGTAGCCGAGAATCTTTGAGAGATATTCTGACCTTAGGATCAATTATTGAAATAAAATATTGAAAATAAATTATTCTTACTTTTTAAAATCTAACGATAACACGTCGATTTAAGCTACCCATTGCATTTCGAATTTTACGTTTATCAAACAACAAGACGAAGAAATTCAAATAAGATGGCGTATACCGGGTATTAGGTTTTTTTTTTTTCCAATATCTCAGACTTTCTTTTCTCAGTAAGACTGAATTCCAAGATAATCTTCTCGATGCGAAAGAGGAAGTCTCGGTGCCGAGTGAGTTCCAGCTGATGAAAAGAGGAAGCTCAGGACTCCCTTTCACAAATGGCAAAGTCAGTCACGGAGTCTTCGCGATTACGAGGACCGGCAATTATTATTGCGAGGGCGGAAGTGTTACGAGTCGCGAAAAGAGAGCTTCCGGGTTACGTTATCGCGTGTAGAATGATAGCAGCAGGAGTCAGCTCGAAAGCGTACAAGATGAGATAAGCTGACACGGCGCAAGCAGTTTGACGCATCAAAACAAGACACCCCAAGGGTCCCTTGGACTCCTCCGTCTTCTGGGCCGAGGATGAAGCAGCATTTTCACGAGGACGAATCCTGCTGTGCAGTGCCCGGTCGAGTCTCTCGTCGAGGATCAATCGGCGAAGGGGCAGGGAGGGGCAGAGAGGGGTTAACAATGGTCAGCAAGACATAAAGGCAAAGGGGGTGTAAAGAGGGATTCGCGCTAACCGGTTGGTCTAGGTAAACCGAAGGGTGGTTAATAGAAAAGCTACAGTGATGAAGGTAGCGATAGAGCAGAGAGAGAGAGAGAGAGAGAGAGAGAGAGAGAGAAGCAGGCGGGAAAGTAGTGAAAGGGTAAGAGATGGTTGGATGGTTAACAGATCGCGTCTCTTCTGGAAAAAGGAAATGACGGTAGCATCGTCGGGCGCGACGATGGCTGATGGCTCCCTCTAGGACTCGCGTCCCCTGCCTCTTTCTAGCCGGCGATGCAGCTAGGGTCGACGGGCACCGCGGGGTGCGTGGGCCTGTAAGCAGGCTAGCAGCCCCGTGGAAGTCGCTCTGGTTGCACCCTGCGCAACGTGCACTTGTACATACGTGTCGTATTCATAGGAGGCCTCCCCCACCTGCGAGGAGGTTAAAGGGGTGGATCTCTGGGCACGTACGCACGCACGCATGGATCCAGCCAAGGCATGAACACACACGCACCCTGCCCCGTGCACTTATGCTACCCCGTGCGTAATCCAAGAGTGCGCACAGCGTACGCACCGCGGCGCTGCTCTGGGGCTACTTCAAGGGTTTCCATTATATGCGTGCACGCACCCCGGACTCGAGTTCTGCGATATTTTCGCTCTCGTACTAATAGGCCGGCCTTGTGTACCTGTGCTCGCAATTATCCTGTGCAAGTGCGCGAGTTCCCGGCTTCGCGACCCACGCACCGACCGCACCGACCGCACCGAGTCTCACGCACCCGCCGCACCGACGTCCCCAGAGCTACGCGAGCACTATAAACACCATCAGGAACCACTTTACTTTGTCGACCTCTTACTTCGCCAATTTCGCGACTTTCCTTCCCCACCCGCTTTTACATTACCAAGGCTTCTCTCGTTCTGGCCTCTTCTGGACTTTTCTCTTCTCTCCAGAGGAACTGGAGGATTGGGAGGACGAGCACTTCACCCTCGAGTGGTCCACGCGGTGGGCATGCTATGACTTTAGCCCCTGCCTGATGTCGCGGCACTTGAGAATTCATCGAGAAAATTGAGTACGCTTTCCTGCCATGCGGAAAAATGCTTCAATGTTTTCTATATTTTATATGTATTGTAACGTATTTTTTCTAAACTCGATACCGATAACGAAAAATCCGAGAACGAACTATCTGCGAGAACCAACCTACGTTACCTTCGGCCGTCCACCCTTCGCTCAGGCATCCCACAAGCCAGGCGGCCGCCAGCCAATTCTTTTTTCACCGGGAACTGCGAGTTGGGCTGGAACAGGCCCAACTCCACCAAGAACGAGAGATCTGACGGAACCTATTAGAGGAGGCGATAGCTGAACGGATCCTGTAGATTTTTGAGGACGCGTAAAATCGAGGAACGCACCTGGATACACGAACGGGAGCGGACGGTTACGGAAATGCGCGGCCGCTCAGGCTGCTAGGTTTGAGGTAGAGAGGGTCGGAGTAAGAGTCCGGCAAATAGTGCGAGAGACAGAGAGCGACGAACCGAGAACGCATCAGAACGAATCTTAACTATCTATCGAAATCCCTTCACCGATTAATAAATTGGGAGACTCACCGGAGCTGGGGCAGCTAATCCGTGGAGGCCGAGAACTGGATCCAAAGGACACTCTGGTGGGCACTGCACTAAAGCACAGCACTACACCTCCGGAACACTCACAGGAATTCATAGAATTGCCTGGATACCGCGAGAACAACGCGAGAACTGTACGAATCGAGAACTTGCTATACCGTAGCAAAACACGGCAAGAAAAACTATAAACAGATAGCACGGGAGCGCGATGTCCCTCGTGACACCTCGGTCGGTGCCCCGAGACAGACTGCTTTGACAAAATAGTCAAATCCGAGAACTAATCATTCTGATTGGTCGAGAGCCTTATAACCGATAACTCTTCCATCTCCTTCGAGTCGTCCCTTTAAACCAAATCGAGAGCGTTCCTTAACGAATCGGTACGTAACTCCTGGAGATCCTCCACGGCCGCTTCCCCAGG